CCTTGCCTTTCTCGGGCCTTGCGCTCGCCGGTTTCTCCGGCCGCGGGGCCTCTAATCCGAGGCTCCCGTTAATTGTCGTAGGCGGACCCTACGTTGGGCCCTTATTTTTTTACGTCTCATGGCCACCGGGGCCGTCCACCTCTCGACTCCCCTATTCTCTTGTCGCTTGTCGTGCCGCATTTGCAAAGTTCATGACCCTTTGGCCTTAGTCATGCTGAATTCCAATGGCCCTCCTGACCTCATGCTATGTTCCTATGCGCCCATGTCCTGGCGCTTGCTTGCTTATCGCCGTCGGTTCTTTCCCCCTGCGGTTCTCAACCCATCATTCATCCCGACGGCCTAGTCCTTTGTCCTTTCTCCCTCTCTTGCCTCCTTACTCCAGATTTCTCTGTCGTGCACAACTTGGCTATATACAGGCTCTCAAGTGTTGGGATGTTATTCGGGACCCACCAGTCCCGACACATTTCCCCCACTCATTCACGATGTTCTCATCGCGCACTAGTCTTCTGTCAGTAGGGAGGGTCTAGAGGGGTAGGCGAAGGAGAGGGGGTGAGATGTATTAGATAGTTAGTTTGTCAGGGTCCCTTTTGTCTTTTCTTGTTCCTTTCTCGGGGTCCCTTCTAGTCTCCGCTTCTTGGGGCGGGGAGGGGTGTGTGGGGGGTCAAGTTCTCTTTTTAGGACGTCCTCCAATCTTCTCTCTTCTCATTCATCATCCTTAGAACATCAAACCCTTTTTTGTCTTTTTTCATCTCATTCATCACCCGGAGTGCATCAAGCTTTTCGTCTCATTCATCACCCGAAGTGCATCAAGCTTTTCGTCTCATTCATCACCTAAAGTGCATCCACTATTTCGTCTCATTCATCACCCGAAGTGCATCCAACTTTTCGTCTCCTTCATCACCCATAGTGCATCAAGTCCTTTCTCTTCTCATTCATCACTCTTAGATTATCAGACTCATTCTTCCTTCGGCCCCTCTCGTCTCATTCATCACTCTTAGAACATTAGACCTCCTCTCGTCTCATTCATCACTCTTAGAACATCAGGCTTCCTCTCGTCTTGATTCATCACTCTTAGAACGCTAGACCTTCTTTCGTCTCATTCATCACTCTTAGAACATCATGCCTCCTCTCGTCTTCATTCACCACTCTTAGAACATCAGGCCTCCTTTTGTCTCCCGCCTCTTGCCGCTCATGCTTCTCCCCTGAGCCTTGTCATCCCTAATGCCCTTGGCTGATCTCCCTTCCACCCTGTGCCAATCATGTCCCCTTTCCGGCTTCGGCCACCCTCAGTGCCTCTCTTAATCGGCTCTCCGTCCCGTGCGATCCGTGCTTATTGCCATCCCTTCCTTAATTTCATGTTCAACCAATTTTACACGCATTTCTTTCTTAGACATTTTGCCAGACCTTTCTCAAGCCCTAGTTCTATGAATTTCACATGCATTTCTCTTCTGGACATTTTGCCGACCTTTTCTCCGACCCAAAACTCAATGACTTTCACATGCATCTTTCTACCGGACATCTTGCCAGGCTTCTTCTCAAGCCCAAGCTTAATTAATTTCTCATGCATTTCTCATGGGCATCTTGCCTAGCTTAGTCATTTCCACATATATTTCTTATGGGCATCTTGCCGAACTTTTCTCAGACCCAGCTTAGTCATTTCCACATACATTTCTCACGGGCATCTTGCCAGGCTTTTCTCAGGCCCAACTTAGTCATTTCCACATACATTCCTCACGCGAATCTTGCCAGACTTTTCTCAGGCTCAACTTAGTCATTTCCACATACATTCCTCACGGGCATCTTGCAAGGCTTTTCGTAGGCCCAACTTCGTCATTTCCACATACATTCCTCACGGGCATCTTGCCAGGCCCGGGCCCAGCTTAATCACTTCCACATACATTTGTCTGTTGTTTCTTTCGCACGCTTTGTTCTTAAGTAGATGACACACCTTCCCCCCACTCAATCACGATGTCCCCATCACGCAACTGGTTCTCACTTGGAGGTACGCAGACCTTGTCTGCCAACTAAGTAGACAGATGCCGGCCCATCAGCCCCAAAAAGGAAGGGTGATCAGTCCTCCCCCTGCTGATAACTCACGTCATCCTCCACTCTAGTCCGGCGGCCATTTCTTTGGAGATGGGCATCATCATTGAAATACCTCCTCGCATCTGTTAGGCGGGTCCAGTCCACGCCTCCCAGGACCCCATCATACCATAAGTGGCTCCCTCGCGAATCGTTTCTCCCAAGTGGTAAGTTTTGTGGATCCGGCCTCTTCCTTCTCAAGAGTGCAGTTACGGTTGTAATACTACGATAGGGCGGTGTCAATGCCCTGTGATGGTGGTAGTGTCAATGCCCTGTGGTGGTGGCGGACTCCACCCGGTACCTCGCCCCGACCTTCCCTATGGACAGTGTCGCTTGACTTAGTGCGGGCAGCCTAGGTTCATCCCAAACGGTCAGGCCGCTCCTCAACGACGTGGCATGTGTTAGAGAGGGTCATCAAGACTTAGAAGAGCAACTTTTCGGCCCATCTTGGCACCCTGGACTTTTTAGGAACTCAATGCGAGGCGCAATTTGAACCTTCCGACTAGAGCTCATTGTCGAAGTTGGTTCCGAATGTCGAGTACCGTGACCGATACCTTGATCCTTTAACCTGGTGCCCTACTTACGAGGGGCAGGTCGCGCTTGGACATTTCCCTATGGGGTAGAGGTCCTGGGGTCGCGGTGCGTGCACCACTATCCCCCTCATGCTTAGAACCTGAGACTAGAAGAGGAAGGAAGCCTCAATCTCTTGCTATTTCCATGGTCGATCTGCAAACTCTTTTCAAATTGCCTAGGGTGCCCTGTTAATGCAATGTAATTTCGAATTATCAGGCAAACGCTCAATCTAATGCTCCAGTCCTTTCTCAAGGTTGATTCTTATGGATGATCCAACAACCTCTTTTCAGCAGGGCCACCCCTTGTAGCCGATCGAGCGGCCTCTTTTCAATAGACCACTTTTCATGACCGCTCGTCGGTCCATCTTTTTGTTCTCAGTTTTTACTTTTTCAATAGTCATCCCTTATGACCGTCCCGACGGTCCATGTCCTTCTCATTTTGATGTCCGCCTTCTTTTATCATGCCCTCCAATTCTTCTCTTCTCAATATTATTTCAAGGCTGTTTTAGTGACCGTCCCCTCGACCTCTTCCCTTCACACCCGTCCTTTTCATCCTTTCTCATGGCTACTTCAACGACCGACTCTCCGACCTTTTCCCTTCTCACATTTTCCTCTTTCATCCTTCCTTATGGCTATTTCAATGACTGACCCAGCGGTCTTCTCCATTTCACATTTTTCTCGTTCCAGCTCATTCTCAATCAGCCTTTCTCAAGCAGTCATGCAAAGGGACCCTAGTGCCTATTTCAGAAGAAACAACCCTTGTTAGGGGTCATTCCCGAATAACCTGGTTAGGGTCTTTTTTTTTCATTCTCAAGTCAAACAGCCTGGTTAGGGTCATTCCTTTCCATTTTCAAGTCGAACAGCCTGGTTAGGGCCATTCCTTTCCATTCTCAAATCGAACAGCCTGGTTAGGGTCATTCCTTTCCATTCCCAAGTCGAACAGCCTGGTTAGGGTCATTCCTCTCCATTTTCAATGCTTAGCGCCCGAGGGGATGGGCTTTGAGAACACAGATCTGATCGTTTACTGCGGAGTTAGCAGACTGCCATCTTTGCAGTTTTCAACGTGGCATATCTTTCTTTTTATTCTCAACATAGTGTTGCTCAACTCCATCATCTTCATTTATACACCTGACTTAGCGTCTAGCACCCAAGCGGAGGTTTTTCAACCTCAGGCGGTACTAGCCCGCCCGACCGTTCACCCATAGATCAAGTGCGAGTCCCTCTGTCCTTTTCAGTCTTGCTCACTCTCACAACTTTGTCACTTGTGACATGACCCTGACTTGGTCGGATTAGGCTCCTAGGAGAGGACATCCTCGTGGCGCTCTATCCATAGGTTCCTTAACCTCTCTTGTACTCGCCGGTCATTCAATGCTCTTTTCGTGCTCAATTCATCCATATTCATAATTATCATCCAAGGTACAATCTCTGTCTTGTCCAAAGCTCACAATTGTCCCATCCCAGCTAGTCTCATACCCGGTGTCCCTTGCCAACGTCTTTCTCTCAAGATCCATCTGAGGTAGCGATCCCAAAAAGTAGCTCAAATACTGTTTCCTTGCCTATTAAGCTAAGGTCTTGACTTGTCCCTGTCGTACTTGCCCTCAACAAGCTCATTCGTACTAATCAAATCTTTCCTCTACTTATTGCAAAAGAAAGACAACTCTCGCCAAACTTTTGTTTTATCTTTAGTCCCTCCTAGGGTCATCAGTCCTTTGTCTCTTGGGTGCCCGTTCGTCGTCACGCCTGGCTGGTCCTTCGGCTCCCAGGCCGGCGACCATTATTTTTTTTTTTCCTCTGTGCAATCTCTCGCAATTCTTCCTCACTGTAAAAGTCCAGAGGTGTGACCGCCACTCCAGCCCTCATTAGTTCCTGGGTTCTGATAATCCAATCATGCTTAATCACACTTATCCATTGCTCGAACCAATGACTGGGCGTGGGTCCGAATTCTTCTTCCCATCCGGACGGTCCCTCTCTCGGCCTACTTGTTGAAGGTTGCCCCTCAGCCCTGGGTCTCGAGATCTCATCTGTTTCATCGCCACTACTGATGGCAATGACTACTTGCACCTCGTCATCGCTTTCATTCCCATCTTCCCGTATGGGGCTGAATTCACCCATAAAGTTTTCCGGGTCTAGATTGTACGGGATATTCGTCCTTCTTTCGGGTCCGTCCCCAAAACCCGTGCATCCCCTCTCACAACTGTCTTGTCTGCTCTGTTCCGCTTCCTCACTTCTCTCCTACTTGTCATGCGCACTTTCTCTTTTCTCACTTCTTCCACCGTTGTCATGTTCGTTTTGTCTTTCTTCATCGCCTCTCTCACGATCGTTACTCATACCTTTTTCCCTTCTTACCGTGACCCCTTGCTCCTCCCTTTCTTCTTCGGACAGAGGCTGCAGTTTCTCGCCTTCCTTAAGGGGCGAAGGTTTGCTGGCCAATATTTTTCTCTTTCTCCTTCCTAGTGTCCGTCTTGGCCGTAGCCCAATGAACAACACCGGTCTTTGTCTGTCTCGTGACCTCTCGGTTGTTTGCCACTCATCTTCGAAAGCCACATTAGCGCGATTGACATCGTTCTCGTTATTGAGTTCCATCTTGTCTTGTGCTTTTCCTGTGCCTGTCATCACAAGGAAAACAGAAGCCCCAGTCCACATTCCCAAGGTGGATGCCCGTCCAAGTAGTAGCAGAATCCAAGCCCCATTTCCTCATGATGCCGGAGTTGCCCAAATTTCCAACGATGCTCCTCATATTCATATGATGAATCGTTACGTGTCTCCCTTGAATCTCATGCATTTTTCTCGAACGTGATAGGTTGCCCCAGACAATCATCCTGATACCATCCATCCCTCACACACACAAAAAAAACTATGGTACAATGCCCTAGGCAACCACCCCAATACCAACCCTCACAAAAACTATGGTACAATGCCTCGGCCTCCGTTCAACATTATCCCCCCAAAAAGCTATGGTATAGTGCCCCGGTCGCATCACTCGTCCCATGCAATCCGTTTCTCATAAGCACAGTCAGAAACCCATCCCCAAGAACACAAACCATATCATGGGTAAGATCTGTGTAGCATCGTGTTCAGGTTCGGTGACCGAACCCGAACATTCAGACCGAACGCGAACGAGCGCCGAAACTCTCCGAACGCGAACATAAAAATATATAAAAAAAAACAAAAAAAAGGTTCTCCAAAAAATCTGAAATAAATATATGTTATATAAAATAATAATACAAACAACTTTTGCCTTGGAGGTTTGGTCAAATTCGTAACCAAAGTTAAAAATAAAAAACCAAAACAAAAAGTTTTTTTTTTTTTTTTTTTTTTAATATGTTCGACCGAACACGTTCGGGTGGCGTTCGGCCGAACAACCGATCATGTTCGGACGTTCGGAAAAGCTCCGAACATGTTCGGTGTGCTACACAGGGTAAGATCTTCGTTGGCGCCTTAGTCGCCCTGTTCCCCAGTTTCCTTGTCCTGAGCCTCTTGCAACCACTGTTTCACTGGGTTGCGACTTAAGAATCTGACCAGCCGTTGTCCTGGAAATGGTCCTTTTACGCTGGTCCCATCCAAATCTTCAAACTCAAAAGTGTTCAACCCCAGTCTCTTGGCGACCCGGTAGGGGCCCTTGAATCTTTTCCCCAGTTGACATGACCAAGTACTTTCTAGTGCGGAATTCCTGACTAGGACCATTTCTCCCACCTATAGTGGTTCTTTTCTGATGTTCCGCAACTAATCCCACCTTACCTTGTCCTTCATTCTGCTATCCAGAACCCGGTTTACGACTTCTTCCATTGCCTCCTCATTTTGAATGATCTGTCAACATCTAATCTCAATTAACTGTTCCATCATCAGGCGTAGGTCGTCATCCAGCCTGCCCCAAGTTGTTACCAGGGATTCTACTGGGAAGTCAATTTCACTCCCATACCACAATTCGGCTGGAATACATCCTGTGGTCCTCTTTGGGGTCACATTTTCTGCAAACACTACTTGCTTGAGGTACTTTGGCCAGTTCCCAAGATCGTCCGTTGCTAACTTTGTGATCGTGTTTTTCAAAGTTATGTGCCCTCTTTCCACGGGTGCATTAGCTTCGGGGTGGTATGGCTCAATTAACTCGATGGGCACCCCAAGTCTCTTGCATGTACACAGCACATCTTGATTCACGAATTTTGTCCCATTATCAGCTATAAATCTTCTAATAAATGGGCGCCTCAGGTAAAAGTCCTCGATCCAATTTGCTATCGCCGGTTCGTTTTTTTTCTTAAGGGCTACTGCCTCCGCAAACCCACTGAGATTATCTCTAGCGTCAAGTATGTATTTGTATCCTTTCGTGGATACAGGTATGACTACGAGGTCGAGATGAACCAGGTGCCCTGGTCCTAACACTCGCATGGGTCTCAGGGGCTCAAAGACTCGAGTCGTAATCTGTTCTTGACAGATCAAGCAGGTCTGGCAGTATGTGACAATCATACTCCCCATTTCCGGCCAAAATTAGAGTGGCGCTATTTTGGTAAGGGTTCCTTTTGGGGAGCGATGCCCCCCTGCCAACCCATCATGTATTGCCTGAATTATGTCAACTTGCTTTGATCGTCCACATACGACACTTCTAGGCATTAGGCCTTCCTCTTTTCTGAACAAGTGCTCATTTCTTAGTACATATTTATCAACTTCCTCTCTGGCCTTGAGGATGACCTCCTGAACCTTCTTATTTCCCACTAGTAATAAGTCGATCTCCTTGAAGATGTCATCGTACGATCGGATAAGGAAGAATTCCTTCTGATCCTGACGATCCTCCTGTCCATTCCGCACTTGGTTTACTAAGTACTGCCGCTTCTGTTCCCATGACTCGACCAAACTCATAACCACCTCTCGCCCTCCTTGTACAACCATCGCCATCAATTCTTCCTTGTGGCCGGTTCTTGTAACTGCCCCTTCTCTGAGTACTGCCACCACTGCGGGAGACCCTTTCTCTAAAGTCTTAATCAGCAATTCCCCAGACGTGCAAGCGGGTTCTATCATTTCGTTCTCTACCGCAAGGGTCCCTCCCTCGTAGTCGAGGAACGCATCGGTAGGTTCCACGTCCTCTACTCCTTCCGGTGTAAAACACACCCTGCTCAAGCCGTCGGCCCTATTCTTGAGACCGTCTATGCGCTCAATCTTGTAGTCAAACTGTCAAATGAACCCCACCCATCTTCCCACTGTGGGGTCTATAGGCTTGTAATTCTTAGAGCCCCTGCGACGTTTGTCGGATCTATTCTCAAGATGAACCTCCTCCCAAAGAGGTAGGCTTGGAAGTTCTTAAGGCAGTGGAAAACGACCAACACTTCTTTCTTGAATTGAGAGTAACGACGCTCGGCTGAGTTCAACGTCCTACTCTCAAACCTGATTGGCCGTTCCCTTCCATCTTCCCCTCTTTGGATCAGGACTCCTCCCACGGCTAATGGTTTCCCATCGGTCTCAAGCACAAACCTACGCCCTACCTCATCGTTAAAACATGGAGCGGCAAGGGTGACCTGTTCATATGTCAATATGTCTTTCAAGGTCTGGACGGCACGTTCTCGTTCCTCCGTCCAATCGAGCGTGCCCTCATCGTGGATCATGGCCCGAATGGGTTCGGCTATCTTTGCGAATCCTTTGATGAAAATCCTCTTAAATCCTACAACCCCTAGAAAGACCCTTACCTCCATTGTGGTTCGCAGGGGCATTGGTCATTGAGAGATTTTGTTCGTCTTGGCCGGATCGGGCTTCCTCCCATATGACCCGCAGCGGAATCCTAGGATGGTTACTTCCGACACTGCCAGGATGCTCTTGGGGCCGCTGGCTGTGATGTTATATTCGAAGAACCTGCGAAGAAGCTCTTTGATATCCTGCAGGTGGTCCCACAAAAACCTCTGTAATCCCTGGCTGAATTTCCGTTTCATCCTTGTCCCTTGGGCCTTTGATTGGATTGTCGTCAATGTACGGTTCACATTCTGCGGGGAACATATCTCCCGCAACTGCAAGCATCCTTCTTTGTGCTTCCACTACAACATTGGTGAGCCCATAGGAGTTACTTGCATTGGTAATTGACCTACCGGGGTATGTATAGCCATGTAGGGTCTATCCCGGGTGTCCAGCGGGAGCTGATCGTATCCCGAATACAGGTCTACCAAAGAGTAAATGCTTCGTCCGGCATGAGATTCTGCCAGCAGGTCTGCTTGAGGCAATGATCCCGCGTCCCGAATGGTGACAACATTCAATTTCTGCAGATCTTTGATCTACCTAAGCGACTTGTTAGGCTTCCGGAACACGAACCATCTATTCGCGTATGGTGACACGGTGGGTTCTGCCACAAAGGAATCCATCTTTGCTCTGAGCAGTTTTGTTACTTCCCCTGCTACTCCAAAGTCATAGGCCGGCCCCTTGTCATTCCAATATTCGTGCTTGACTGTGTGGATCCTGACCGGAGGTATCAATTTTGCGTCTAATCGTCCTTTCTCATGGTCGTTGAAGGCAAAGGCTAGGTGAAATTCTTGGCATGCTTCCTTGATCAACCATGGCTCCTGCTCTGTCAGGAATCCCTCCACCCCTATCTTCATGGTCTCTGCTACCTCGTCCGGTCTTCGATGCCAATCTGTTGCCCTTTTTTCTCTAATCTCTCGGAGGAGTTCCTCCTCTTTTTCCATGGCTTCTTCCTTTGTTGTCTCTACCAGGACCGAGACAGGCTTGGCCTTCTTCCCTACTAACTTGTACTTGCGAATGCTTCCTTCCGGGATCTTTCTCCTAAAAAACGAACAACCGGAATAGCCCGAGGAGCTTCGACAATCCGAGGCTGGATACTGATTAATTTCCCGTTCAGGCAGTAGCCTTTTCGTACTTCTTCCTCAAATTTGGCGAGCGCAGTCAGATTCACACATACCTTATGGTATCTGATAGCCTTGATGAGGTGTAGTATGTCCGGGACTTCCAGTGTTATCCCGATTTCCTCCTCTCGAGCCTCCTTTGGTATAGGCAAGTTGGCTCCCAATTCGACCTCCGTCTCTTTCTCTACTACCATTACTCCCAGGGCATCGTCCTCCTGCCGCCGCTTTTTCTGTGGTTACCCCATCTTGACCCATTCTTTCTTGCTGAATGTTTCCTCGATCATAATTTCTACCCTTTCCCTCATTCCCTCCATTCATGCGAAGGCCCCCTTTCTGACACTTTCTTCGAACGATGGCGACCATGTTGCTAGTTTCCCCTTTGTTGTGTCACCATTTGTTTCGATGAGACGGAGTAGCTCACCACGTCCCGTCACCGGGTCTTTTATGTCTACCATGTATGTTCCATCATGCAGATGCATTCCGATCATCTCTACATTCGCACACCGAGGTCTCCCAAGGATTATGTCATTGTCCATTTCGTCCATAACAGTTATCCGTTGGAACGACCAAATAGACTCCCTAACCCCGGTCTTGACTGCGCACTTAGTAACATACCCGGAGAAGGGAATTTCCCTGCCTGCCCCATGGACGCTTCCCGTTGTCTCTTTGTTCACTAGGCATCCCGTAATCTTCGCAAAGTCTTTCCTAATGAACGTTATTTCAGCCCCTCCATCTACGAGCGCATCGGTGTGGTGGCTTCTAATGTGGACTTTCAGCTTACCCACCGGTAGTGTGTGAAAGCTAAGTTTTGTCCCTGGTGGTGCCCTCATAACCTCGCCACCTTTACGGTCTGGAAGGCTTAGCCGGATGTCTGCGAAGGCCTTCTCTAGCTCATCCAGGTCCCCGGGGATCCTTTGAAAGTTGACGACTTCTCGTGGTGGCTCCTCTTCCTTCTCTTACTCTTGTTGTTCCGGCCCTTCTTCTAACTCTATTCTTCGCCTCGTCAGTAGTTGTCTAAGGCCTTTCAGGAGCCTGCGGCTTGCTTGCAACATGGTTTGGAAAGAGACTGACACCATGGTCCCTAGCAGCTTGCTAAGGGTATCATCGGTCTCCGACATAGTTAGAATGGGGATCTGATACCGGAATTTCTTTTTGGCCGAGGCAGCTTTGTCTACCAGAGCCTCTTCTCTAGGTTTCCCATAAAATTTCTCTTGCTCCTATGCCTCAGCTTCTTGTGGCATCCCCGGACCATCCCCAACGTCTTCCATTACGGCGTCCTGTACGACCTTGCTTTCTGCTGTTCACTGCCTGGTGGTCACGTTAACCCTATCTCGCCCATCATTGGCCTGCTCCCTGTGTCCTCACACATGTTCCCAGGCGAGCTCCACCACGGGCTCGGCCTCTACTGTGCCGACGTCGAGGTTATTAAATGCGATTATGGCCCGACGCATCGCTCCCGGGGAGTTCCAATTCACTTTCTCTCATTGGGGGCCTATGATCTCCCCTCGCAATGTCCGGGAGCACCTTTTGTGCATGATATCATGATTAAGCCTTGGACACGCTCGCACGAAGTGTCCGACCATCGTACAATACTTGCATTGCTCATTGGCCGGATCTCTCCTATTGAATCCTCTGTTTGCTATTCCCGCCGCGGCTACTGCTTCCTGTGGTGGTAGGGGGGGTCGAGCCACCTGGGTTTGCGTCACCTGGGCTTGCATTACCATCAGTGCGTTCTCTACCCTTTCGATCTTTCCGTCTACCCCATTGACACACTCATGCAGGCTTTCTATCCCTCTCTTTACCTTATCGTCCGTTTTGCCGGTTAGGTCTATGACTTCTCCTTCTTTCAGTAAGGTCAGTGAGTCGGTTACAACCATCTTCTCAGCAATGTCTGTCACGGTGCTGAAGTCGACGTCCTGTATATTCATAAACTTTGTAGTCTGCTGGTAGGCTGATAGGATTTTATCTTTGTCGAACTCGGTGAATTGCTTGAGGAAGTATTTACTCGTTATGGGACCGGTTACCCCCGGGATTCGCAATGCTACGAGGTTGAATTCCCTCAAGAAATCGTTATATGTTGCAAAGTTCTTTCTTTGTACTGCAGCTAGCCTTGTCTCCGTAGCTATTTTCTCGGCTGCCAGATATTTCTGCATCATTACGTCTCGGGCCTCCTTCCAGGATCCGCTGGTTGCAACGATAGCCATTATGTCCCTACCTAGGTTCAACGACACATGCTGCCCTAAGTGTTCCATCTTCTCTTCCTCGCTCCACCTTAGTAGTGCTGCCAAATTTTCGTAGTCTATCAGAAATTTTGTGATATTAGCCCCGTCGAATGTCAGCTTCTTCTTGGCATCGGCCAGGTATCCCTGATTTTTATTTAGCACCTGTGTGAGGTAGGACACCATTTTCTTAAGCCCTCCCTCGGTTCCTCCTGTTCCATCGGGGGTGCCAAAACCTTGTTCTTCCTTACCAGTTCTCGTCCCTTCTTCGGGCTTTGCCGTCCCTTCTGGGTCGAACCAGCCTAGCACCCTTTCTCTTAAGCTCCAAAGCCCTTCGCATCCCCTTGCGATAATGTGCGAAACCGCTGGTCGGCTTGCGCCGCTGTCTATGGTCGGCGGGTTGGTAGCCTTCTCCGCCTCCCTTCTTGGGGACTCCATTTTCTCCTTCCCTTTCTTGGTTGGCATCTCCCTACGCTCCCCAGTCCTATCCTTTCTCCTTTTTATAGTGTCGTTTTGACTCCTCGCCCCTGGTTTGTTCCTTGATCTTCATTCAACCCTTCTCCCGCGAAGTACCCCTCGCCTTCGTTCATCATTTCCTCAAGGAGTTTTGCTTTATACTCCACCGTTCTCCTTTCTATCTCGGCTAGCTTCTTCCCGGTGTCCGTTAGCCTTACCTTCTTTGACAGCGCACCCTCAGATGCTCATGGCGCAGGACTGCCTTTATTCTTGCCCCCTCTAGTTTCCTGAGTTCCTCGTTTGCTCCCTCCGGTTTTTCCCGTGCTTTCCCCGGTTGTCACTTCCTTCCTTCCTTCGTTAGTACCTTCTCGATTTGCCGATTCTCGGTCCCTCACGGACGCCTTGTTCTGCTCTACGTCCTTCTCTGTGCCCTGACTCCCTGCTTCCTTTTTTGTTGCCATCCTTCTCTAATTCTGCACATAGGGAAAAACAATTTCCCGAAATGGTCAGTTATTCATAGCTTTCCAGATTTCCAGGCCCTAAGGCTTGCTACAGTCGTCCCACCTTTCCTATTTCAATATTTCCTATTTTATAGTGGTGGGAGCATAGGACTCCAGCCACTACCCCCCGTAGATCATTATTATTTCTTTTGTCTCTATCATCCCCTAGTTAGAGTTCACCTTTGCCACCTTCCCCAGCATTTTTCTCACACCGGTTCCTCAGGCCCGTCCTGTTCGTCTGGTTCTTCGAATAGGCTAGCCACCCCTGCAAGGTAAATTTTCCCCCATTCCTATTTCTCTGATAATTATCGGCTCATGTTCTTCAAAGGCCAAGAGTGGCGCCCCAAATATCAGGATCTTGATAAGTTCTAGTAATTCACGGGTCCGATTTCCCCAAAACGGCCCATGTCTTAACGACACATCGTAAAACATTCCTGTCGTCTGTGGTTGGAAATGGTGAACTCAGGTTAGGGTCGAGTTCACCAAGTCCCTTGCCCTCGAGAGGCCGCCGAATACCAAATCTATCATAAAGCGGGGTACTCGGCACCACAACCCTGCCATTGGGGCTCTAAACTCTCGCCAGCCTCCTACTTCTACGCGGGTTCTTAGCCCCACATTCCTTCTCCCCCGAACTTCCTGGCCTATCCAGTTTAATGCCCTGGCCGCCCTCCGGAAGATTGGCAGCAGCCCATGCCCTAGTGTCGTCTCGGTTCCTAGCATGAGCCATCCAATCTCAGGTAAGTACACGGTCCCAGTCAGCCTCAGGTCGATGTATAATTCGTCTCCTGGCCCCCTATTGAACCTCATGCCGCTCCATAAGCATTCCACCATCATGAAGGCTTGGTCCCTCCCCAAGGTCACAACCCTCCATTCTGTGTCAATCCCTCGGACCTCGTAGCTTGCTGGGAGCGACACCTCCCATCCGTTACTGCTTTCCGTGGGTGGTCGAGGGTGCGTGGGTCGTCGCGACGTTCGGGTGCGTCTCATCGCCATTGCCGGTTGGTGGGTTTCTGCATGGTTCGGACAAAAAGCGAATTCCTCTTATTTCATCCGCTCCGCTGGACATTGCTAGCTATCCTCATGCCTTCTTACCCCATCCTTTCTGTCGTTCTTGCCTTCGTACTAATTTTTCGGCTATACCCATAGTACTTCGAACAGTAGGAACACATCTCCTATATATGAGGGGGTCGCTGCCACCTCGCGGCGAAGTATCGCATACTCGGCCCCGTTATCCACCTCGAGTCGGTCTTCCTTAAAAAAATTCAGGATGTCGACGACCTCTTTCACACTATCCACGTGGAACGGTCCCATTTCCAACGAGATCTTGTAGTAAGCATCGACTAGCCATGAAAAGTCCAGGTTTACTTCGTCTAACGCTTTCGCGACCGCGAGGATGTGTTTGTATCCTCCAAACCAGTCTGCCACAAAGCACAACACCCAGGCCTGAACTATCTGGCCCGACAACCTGAATTCCTCCCAGCCTCCTATTGCAACGCTACTGCTTACCTCATCCCATCCCTTGTTGGTGAATTCGTAACCCATGTCACGAGTCCGTTGCTCGGCCCCTCCTAAGATCCACATTGGGTCTTGCCCCGACGCCAACGTTACGCAGAACAGATGCCACCCCCTTCTTGATAAGTAGACCGTCCTGAAGGCTTATACGTTTCCCTCAGCTATGTCGTCCCATCCTTGCTCTTCCCTCAATGAGTTCCATACTCTTTCTACCCATAGGAACGATAGTTCTGATGCGATTGCTTCCCCTACCCAATCACAAGTTGCTCCTCTTCACTCATTTCTTGTTGGTAGGGTCATTTCTACTCCTCCCTCGAACTGTCTTAGCTCCCACCCCCTAAACATCCAGTTGTTTAAGCGTTGTTCCCTAGCTATGCTGGTACCCTGCACGACGCCGACCACCCCCATCATTCCTGCCCCATGGACCCCTCCCTCAAAAGTCCCAGTCTTCGATTGCATGATCTTCATCTTCATCGGTAAGATCGTTCCTCTTACTCGTACCATAGATTTTTCAACCCGTCCACAAACATTTCTCCTATCGCCACATTCCTATAGATTATCTTTCAATAGAAGGAACTCGGGACAAACACCTCATCCGTGCTGAGGCAGTTTAGTATCTCAGCCAGTTCCTTTGCCCAATTCCCTTCGAAAGGTCTCATTTCGACCGATAGACGGAAGCAGTCCTGCCGGGCACCCTGGTACAGCCCGAGGTTTGTCATGGACTGACATATCCGCACCAGCCTACTCCGGGTCCCGAAGACAGCGTCCACCAAGAACGGAGGAAGGGTGCACCTCATCGTCCTGAGCGGCCGCCTTACGTTCCCGCTATCTCCGAGTTCCACCCGCACATCTGTCTTTTCCATTTCCATTTCCACCCGCTGACACGCGGCCCACACCACTTCCCGTTCCGCCTGCCTGAATAATTGGTACGGGACTATCCCTAACGCCAAGTCTACCACCATTGCGTTCTCCCCTTCCTTAGACAGGTAGATCCAGCCCTGGGCTTCCACCGTCCCCCGAAATTCCAAATCCGTCAGGCTTGGCGTTAGCCAGGTTAGGCTGATCTTGGTCCACAACGTTTATATCCAAAGGAACGCATCCCTATCGCCCAACATCATGGTTTGATACGCCGGTTCTAGATCCATCCAGGTCCCTTCTTCTGGCAAAACGACAGATACCCCGTCCCTAACACATATTGGCATATCCGGCCCGCTGGAATAGATTGGGGACGAAAGCCACCACGCCATCTTGGTTCCAGCACCCGACCCTGTTTTTCACAGCCAAACATTGCCCCCGGTTCTCGGGTCCGATCAACCTAAATCCTGGATGAGAATATTTCAGACCCCTTATCAAGGTCTAGCCTAGTTTACCTCCCCTCCTTTGGATACCCTTCTCCAAGTCGGCCCTTTTCGCCCAAGCTCATTTTCTCGGTTCCTTTCAAACTGACCCCTATTTCTTCGTCTCATGATCTTCACTCACTCGTGCAGACTTAGGCATGGGGTGAGAATAGACTAGAATCATAGCCCCAGCCGACAGCTCCGATTGCAATCATCTTTACGGAGGGGGATACAAAACACGAAAACTCAGGCAATCTCACATACAAGGCACGGTCATCTCCTAGCCAGACTTTTCCAATGTGGTCTCTCTGCTGGCACTTTCGGTAGAGTTTTATCCCATGCCTCAAGCGCAGCTCAACCATTGCAAGCGTGGTACCCAGGCTCCGGCACAGGGTGTTACCCCTCTCCATTCGCCCAAAATACCCCATCCCGTTTTGCCGCCCTTGCATACCCTGTTGGTATCGGGAATCAACCCGCGCACCCCGCTAGGAACAAAAGTCAGTCGTCCGGGCATTCACTTCCATCGGTCCGACAAGAATCAGCCTTTCCCAAACCGTACTACGGGAAGCTACCAATCGTCTCCGAGGCTCCCTCCTTGCCGCATACGCAATGGTCCCCCTCCACCAACCGACAAGCTAGAACCCCACCTGAGGAGACGTTTCGCATCCCGCCTGGGCAAGGTGCCGAGCCATGCTCGGTCCGCCCGGGAGAGAGTGCTACTAATCAACCAGCGAGACCAACTCCTGTCTGACAGCTCGGTGGTCCGACCTCCGCATATGAGACCCGACGACACTACGATAAAAACGACGTTTCGTAGTCCCGCACCAACTGGTGCAGACCCATCCTCTCCTTCCGAAAGGCAGGACGCTCAATTTCCCTCATGCAGATCACAAGTCCCAAGTGGGACACACATAGAATAAGTGTCTTTCCCAAAGGTGCATCCGGTGCAACCTACCCAGATCTCACAGTTTTTCTCTCAGGACAGTGTGTGCCACTCCCCCAATTGTCCATACACAGTGGTCGGTTCCTTCTCGTGAGCATCTTCAAAGGTGAGCTAGTTTTCTTTGGAGTCTAGCGACTCCCTTCATTCCCTTTGTCTTCCTTCGTCTGTCCTTTCATAGGGTAGGATTATTCCTTCTCGATGACCCTTGTGTTCATGTTGGTTCCTTCAAGCATTTCAAGTGTATAGTGCATCAGCCCGCTGGGCTCAGGAGAAGAAGGAAGAAAAGCACCCAGCCGAATGGATCACTCCGCCTGCGGGAGCGCATTTTTGGCGTATCGTGTTAATTTTTGTGCACCCCAGCCGAAGCCGAAGCACCAACCGCCTGCCAGGTAACCGGAGCCCTTCTTTCATACGAAGAGGAAGGGTCGACCTGCGACTTGCCCGAAGCTTCCCCGGACTGGCGAACACCAGCACCGGAGGAAGGGGGGCTAGAGCTACTCCTCAAAGGAGCGAGCTGATCAAGTGTGCAATCATGCATGTTATACCTCCAGGCCTGGCCATGCCATGCACCCAGCCACCCTCAAATCTGATTCTCTAAAGGAAAAGAGCAAGCACAAGTCCAATTTCCTATCTTTAGTTGTGTACACGGTCCTATGTAGGGCGCCTCCCTCAGGATTGCAAGGGTCAGTTTAACCCAAGACCCGGAACCTCCACCATTTTTTGTAGGGCCAAGCCCCGGTAGACTTTCGAGCCTTGGTCGACCCCACTGCGGGTCCCAGTTGCCTCGGCCCGCGCACGCTCATGCTCAGGGCGCGGGTCGTTCGTCTCTGGGCCACCCCCATGGATGGGGGTGGGCCGTCGAGCGAGAGAGCTTTG